TCCAATTGTGGTGCTGAACGGCAGTGAGCGCGCGCCCCATCTGCGCTTGTAACACACACACACACACACACACATTCTACCTAGAGAACTCCAGGAAGTCCTCCGGAGGCCTCCCGTCGAGGAACTACTTTGCATGACGCCCTCGAAGACCCATGCAGGAGCTCTGCGGAAGCGTTCCTGAAAGCGAGAAGGGACTGGTCCTCGGGTACCTCGGGACTGGTCCTGGGACGACGTCTGGGACTGGTCCTCGGGTGCCTCGGGCAATCCAAGAGCGCCAGGGAAGGCCCTGGAAGGGAGGAGGGGGCCCTTCGTGCACAGCAATTTCCCTCTGGAGGGGTGCGGCCCCAAGTCCCCGAGGGCACTGCCCACACTGGCTCTTCATGTTGGGAGCGATGCAGCGTTGGCCGAGCGGCTCTGCCTGCACCCCCCCTCCCTCCTCCTCATCATCCTTCTTATCCTTTTTCCCGTCTCCCCTCTCCCCGTCCCTCCAATCATCCACTTCTTTGTACACATGAGGCGGCCCGTGCAAAAAGAACACGCGGAACGATCCGCAGTCTCCTTGAGCGCTTCTCCACAGAACAACATCGCATCTGCTACTCTTATCATAGGCTGGAGGGCGACCGAGAGCAGAAAAGGGGAAAAAATAACGGGGGCATCAACATACGGAGGAGGGAGAACTGGGGAAATGATGAGTCATAGTAACAGCACCACACGCTACGTGCTCCTTTACAGAACAGCGCCATGCGCGCTATGATAAAACAGAGAGCTGCGCTGAGTGTTGCAAATGGCTAAGTGCACAGCGAGCATGAGGTAGCCGAGGGAGCCGCGAGATTTAGTCTGGATGTGCGTAATACACACTCCGCTAGACCCCTGGGAGCTCACGAAAGTGGCGGCAATTTCGCAACTAGCAGCCCCTCACGGCGCCGCCAAGTCTAGTCCGGATGTGCGTATGACACCACTCCGCTGGTCCCCCCCAGGAGCCCGCGAAAGTGATAACAGTGTCGCAATTTGCAGCCACCGAGGAAGCCGCGAGGTCCAGTATGGACGCGCATACGTGCCCCAGGGGCCAAAAAAAGTGGCGACGGGTTCGCAATAGGCAGCCCGACAGGGACGGCGAGGTCTCAGTCTGATCTGTATGGGACGCCACTCCGCTGGACTTCCCAGCGGCCCACGACATTGGCGACAGCTTCGCAGTTCGCAGCCCACCAGGAGCGACTCAATCTCATTCTGCTTTGCATGGGTCACCACTCCGCTGGACCCCTGAGACGCCAACGGAAGTGGCGGCAGCTTGACAATTCGCAGCTCCCCAAGGACACGGACGGCGAGGTCTCATTCTGATCTGCGTGGGACACCACTCCGCTGGACCTCCCAGGGGCCCACAGAAGTGGCGACAGCTTCGCAGTTCGCAGTCCCCCAGAGACGGCGAGGTCTCATTCTGATCTGCATGGGACACCACTCCGCTGGACCTCCCAGGTGCCCACGAAAGCAGTAGCAATAGTTTCGCGGCGAGGTCTCTTTCTGATCTGCGTGAGGCACCAATGCGCTAGACCTGTCAGGAGCCCACAAAAGTGGCAACATGTTCGCAATTCGCAGACACCAAGGCAGCGCGAGCAATAGGAAGGAGAGAGTCGAGGAGGCAGGGAGGAGGAGGAGGGTAAAGAGGAGAGGAGTGGCAGACAGCAGGAGGAGCGGGGCAGGCGGACGAGCAGAAGAAGGAGACTGACGAGTCAAAATAGGAGTGTCGGGAAAAATGGAAGGCTGGGTAGCGGAAATCGGGAAATCTGGAGAGATGAGCAGCTGAAGAGCTGGATGGCTAGAAAGCTGCAGAGCTGGAGGGATGGAGAGCTGGAAGCTGGAGAGCCCTTCCTCCTCCCCCCTCCCCCACCCATCCTCCTCCTTGCCCTGACATCCCTCGAAGCGGGCCTCGCCGGCCACCTTCTCGATGTAGGCGCAGGTGCTCTGCAAGGCCTTGCTCCCGGTCGCCATGGAGCCGGAGCGTGAGGAGGAGGGCCCGGGCCCTGGGGCCCAGGTCTCCGCGACCAGCGGAGGGCCGAGGAAGAGGAGCTGGCGGCGCGCACGGGGGGGCTTTCCAATAGGCGTGTGGGCTTCCAAGGGCACCAGGGGACTTCTTGGAAACCCTTGCGGCTTCTCAGAATCCCTCTCGGAAGGCTCCGATCCAATCTGAGAAGGCCATACCTTCTAAGACTCTAAGAAGCCCCCCGTGTTTTCACGGGGCAGCACCCCTCGCGCCACCCCCCTGTGCACGCCACAGATTGAAGACGACGACGACATGACGACGACGACGACCACCATCACCACGACGACGACGACAAAGACGACGACGACGACGGACACGACGGGCACGAGGAGGCGGCGATTGCCGTGAAACTCTCGAAAGTCCCCTGGGAACCGCACTCATTCGTTCGGGTGCGCCGAAGAGGAGGGACAGAAACAGAGGGGGCTAACGCATCACACCATGAGGCATGTGCGTGGACGAGGGTGGACAGCGGACCTAAAAGAGACGAACGAGGCGCCATGGAATCGGGGGGACGTTACGGCCCCAGCCATGAGATCTACACACCCCTAGGCCTCACCCCCCCTCGCCTTCAAAGAGGCTTCCGCCTTCTCAGAAGGCCGCCACCCCGTTCCGTTCCGTTGCAAGGCGCCGACGGAGAACGACGACCCTGCACACTCTGGACCTACGTGTACGAAGACAACCGCGAAACCGACGTCGTGATGCCTTCATAGAGTCGACATCCAGAGGTTTCGTCGATGATCCTTCCCCCGAGTCGCTTTCTCACGGCCCAACGGCTCGGCAAGGGGACCCGGGGTCAACGAGAAGGAGGAGGAGGAGGAGGAGGAGGAGGGGGATGACGAGGAAGGGGAAGGAGAAGGAGAAGGAGAAGGGAGGAGGATGCGGAAGGGGGAGGAAAGAGAAGAAGGGGGAGGAAGAGAAAGGAGGAGGACAAGACGAAGAAGAAGAAGAAGAAGAAGACTCGGACTTGCGCGTGGTCTCACCGTCGGACCTGCTGATAGCCGACTCTCGAACTCGACGGAACCTCGCACAATCAACACACACACTTCAGAAACAAGGCGTCGGGTTTCACGCACCGTGCAGTCTGTCATACAAAGTATCTAGGCTGTCGCGAGCATTCCAGTACTCCCGATTTCACGGTAAAAGGGTGGAGGTCTGACTTGGGAGCGGTTTGCTTTGAGCTGTCTTGGAGGGTTCCAGTGGTTCCAGTGGGATCTGGGCAAAAGGCCGCCATTTCATGGCTGGTCTGGGGGAGGGGTCTAAAACTGCTCGTTTGGGAGGGTTGTGACCCATCTCTGTTGTTACGAAATCTGGATTATCTGGGCCGTCGCAAGAATGTCAGCATTTGTGGGCAAGCGGCGCTGCCCCCTCGGGCCTCGCTGGGGGCCGACTAGGCCCCTAGACCCCAGCAACCGACGAAGCGGACAGGAACGACAGGGCGACGGAGACCACGAGACGAGAAGAAGAGTCCTAAAAAACGACGAGAGCGAGCGGCAAGCAGCAGAGAGGAACCAGGGGCTCAAAAACAACGAAAGCCTCCTGCACACGAGGGAGGACATGGAGGAGGAGGAGGAGAAGGGGAGGAGGAGGAGGCGGAGGAGGAGACCGAGAAGGAGGAGGAGCAGGAGGAGGAGCAGCAGGAGAGGGAGAAGGAGGGGTCACCGAGGAGGGAGGGGAAGAAGAAGGCGGAGGAGGATGAAAGGGCCCATGAGGGAAGAGGAGGAAAATGATGAGAAAAAAGAGGACAAGGAGAAGAAAGAAAAGAGGGAAAACGAGGAGGAAAAGAAGAGAAAGAGGAGGGGTAGGACCACTGTAAGCCCATGACTCATCAACGATGTTGCAATGAACCCTCCCCCAAGTCCTTACGAGAGGTCATTGTCACTGAAAGAAGTGTCCCGTTGAAAGACAACCCTTTGAAAATCCTGAAACGCACCAGAACACCAGTCACGTCAACGCCGCGATTCAACGTTACTGTTTCATCCTGACAACTCTGAATCGCGCTAGAACCATGATATTTGGAATTCAAGAAGCCGCGAATCAGCGTAACTGTTGCGCACTCAAAGTCCTACACCGCGTCGAAACACCATAACCAGGACGTCAACCATCAGAACCCTTGAGCTGTTAGAAACTCTTCAGTCGAAAGTGCGCGGCGCTAAGGCGACGCGGCGACAGCCACGATATGTACCACCCTCTGTCCGTGAAGCTCTTGCAGGTGTTGAAGACGAATGCGCGCGGCGCTAAGTCGAAAGCATCACTTTGAAAATCGCCTGCCCCTCATCCGCGGAACCCTGGCAATTGGTTGCAATGAATACGCGCGGCGTTAAGGCAAGAGACATAGTTTGAAAACGGCCCGCCCTGAATCCGTGAACTTTTGCAAACGCTTAACACGAATGTGCGGGGCGCCAAAGCGAGAACCACATGTTGAAAGGGTACCCGCCTCCATCCGTCAAACGCTCGCCAGTTTTGACAACGAAAATGCGCGGCGCTCAGGCGAGAGCCACATTTAACAACGACCCGCCCTCCATCCGCGAAACGCTTGCGACCTTTCAAAACGAAAGCGCGCGGCTGTAAGGCCAAAGCCTCATTGTAAGAACGGCCCGCCCTTCATGCGTGAAGTTGCTGCAAATTCTTAACCTAAAAGATCATACATTGTAAGGAAGTCTCTGGCGAAACGCCGGGCCCGCCCTACCAACCCGCTTCAGGCGGCGACAGAGAAGGGTTACTCATAAGGAATGGAAGGAACGGGGGAGGGAGGAGCGAGGAGGGAGGAGAGAGGAGGGAGGAGGAAGGGAGAAAGGAGGGCGGGAAGGGAGGCGGAAATGGAGGAGCAGGACGGCGAGGAAGGGAGGTGGATGGGAAAGAGGAGGAGGAGGACGACGAGGAGGAGGAGAAGAACGGGGGAGGAGAAGGAGGAGGAGCGCCGCGCCTTAGGTGGGCGACCCAAGACCGGCCCGCCGACCGGGCTCGGTGGGAGCGACGCGGCGAGGCGCGCAGCCGCGAGGGGAAACGAAAGGAAAACTGGGGGGGGCGCACAGGTCTTCCACATCCTCCTCCTCCTCCTCCTCCTCTCCTCCTCCTCCTCCTCCCCTTCCTTCCTCTCTCATCATCTCCTGCTCCCTTTCTTCCTCCTATGCCTCCTCATCTCTCATTCACCTCCTCCTCTTCCTCCTCATCTCCCCTCCTCCCCATTTTCCTCCTCTGCCTCCTCCTCCTCCCATTCACCTCCTCCTCCTCCTCTCCTCCTCCTCCTCCCCCTCCTCTCCTCCTCTCATCCTCATCCTCCGCCTTCTCCTCTTCCTCCTCCAGCTCCTCCCCGTCCTCCTCCTCCTCCTCCTCCTCTTCCTCCTTCCTCCTCCTCCTTTCCTCCTCTGCCTCCTCCTCCTTCTCCATCACCTCCTCTTCCTCCTCCGCCTCCTCCTCTCTCCTCCTCTCTCCTCCTCCTTCTTCTCCTCCCGCTCCTCCCGTCCTCCTCCTCCCCTCTCCTACTCCGCCTCATCCTCTCCTCCTCCTCGTCCTCCCCTCCTCTCCTCTTTATCCTCTCCTCCTCCTCCTCGTCCTCCTTTTCCCTCCTCCTTTCCTCTTCCTCTACCTCTCCGTCCTCCTCCTCGTCATCCTCCTCTTTTCCTCTCCCTCCTCCGTCCTCCTCCTCCTCCTCCTCCTCCTCCTCCGCTCCTCCTCCTCCTCGTCCTCCTTTTCCTCCTCCCACTCCTCCTCCTCCTTCCCCTCCTCCTCCTCCCCTACTCCTCCTCCTCATCCTCCTCTCTCCTCCTCCTCCTCCCCTCCTCCTCCCCTCATTTCCGTCTACTCGTCCCTCCTCCCTCCTCCTCCTCCTCCCCTCCTCCTCCTCCTCCTCCTCCTCCTCGCCTCCATCCTCTCCTCACTCCTCCTCCTCCTCCTCCATCCTCCTCCTCCTCGTCCTCCCTTTCCTCCTCCTCCTCATCCTCCTCCTCCTCCTCGTCCTCACGCTCCTCCTCCTCCTCCTCCTCCTCCGCCTCCTCCTCCTCCTCCTCCCTCCCTCCTCCTCCTCCTCCTCCTCCTCCTCCTCCTCCTCCTCCTCCTCATGACAACAAAATCAGTGCGCATCCAGCCGCTCAGGGGCCATTGGCCCGCAGGTGGCAAAACGTGCTCGTGCGTTGGTGGCCGACCGCCTACCGCCGGCTTTGGAGGTGTTCTTGCTTGATACACTGAATGGAGATCCGGCAGGGCGGGGGACCGATTTCGCCACCCACACAGTGCGCCTAATCCAGGACTGGGCCAGGCACCAGGCTCAATCCTGGGGCTTCCTATGTGTGGACCTGGAGGCTGCGTGCCACCATGTGGTCTGGGAAATCCTGCTCAGGTTCGAGGGCTCGGAAACGATCACCAATGAAAGCATTGCCCAGCTCATGTACGCGTCCGGCCTCCCTCCTGAAAGCATGCACCTTCTTGCCCAAGAGCTCCGAATGCCAACCATCCAGGAGGCCCAGCAGGTTCCCCCTCCTTTTCGACGGGTCCTTGCGGAGACTCTACGAAGCACTTGCGCTACCACGCAAGGGGCTAGGATCATCGCCATCATGGGATCGGAGACTCGTCCAGGGAACACGTTGGCGGCACAGCTTTCCCTCTTTGTGATTGCGCAGCGCTTACGACGTACGCATGAATTGCTGGCGGCGGCTGTGCTTATACAGCAAATCCCAAGTGCCACCAACAGGACCCGGGACATGCATGCCCCACTAGGTGATCATATGGAAAGTTGTGACGTGGCTTATGTCGACGACTGATGTAAGTACGATATGTGTGCAGCGGCAGTGCTCATAAACCAGTTGACGCAACTGGCTACCTTCGCCGCCGACTCCTTTACTCCAGTGTGGTTAGCCGTCAACGTGGGCCCTCCCAAAAAAGGCAGCGATGTTCACATGTTCGGGGCCCAGGGCCAACGTCCAGCGGCGGAAATTATGGCTAGACAACCAAGGGATCCTGGAGGTACCAGCTGCGCCGACCTCTCCGCGGGGCCAATCCATCCCAGCGGTGAAAAGCTACAAACATATTGGGGGAATGGTGGCTGTTTGCCAGGGGCTTGAACAAGAGCTGCTTCCCCTTCGCTCCAAGTAGTGTTCAAAGACACGGACCTGCCTGTGCCTCGCAAGCTTCAGCTTGCGGATGTTCTTATCATGTCGGGCCGTCTGTGCAACGCGGAAGCATGGCCAGCGCCGACCGAAGCAAAGATGGAGAGATTTCGCGTGCGATCCACCACATCTGTCGGGCCGCCCTGGGGATGAGGTCCTATGACGACACGGCCGAAACAGATGGAATGATTCTCTACTTTGCCAACCGTCCTTCCTTGGATGTGATGATGCGCTGGCATCGGCTACGCTACCTTGGACGCGTGCATCGATCTGCCCCAGCTGTGCTCTACTGCGTGACACGGCCAATATAGATTCTTATTATTATACATATATATGTATATGTATACATACATACGTCGGTAGACACATCGTTTGATGACTTAAACTGGCTACGGACTCGCGTGTCGAATGTGAAGGATTTCCCCACACCCTGGCAAGGCATTGGCCCCTGGGATGCTGCGATTACAAAGCCGGGGGCCACTGGAAGCATCGAGTTGCGAGGCGAGTGGCCGCACATGTACGCTGGCACGAACGTAACATAGACGTCAGAAGTAGCACGCATACGTTCATGCAACGCTCACACACACACACACTCTGTAGGCGCCCCTGCAGACATGACCGACCCACCCCTGCCTACGCCGATTACTTATGCGTGCCCATTTTGCGACTACCAGGCACCGAACAAAGAAGCATTGAAGAGCCATGTCTCCTGGATCCACTATCAGCACAAACGCTGGGCCTTGCGGTATGTTTCCTGTGCGACGTGTCCAGTCTGCCTTATACGCTGCGGTGGAATGGAGCTTACCACGGATCACTTACGGAGGTGGGAGGACCTGCATAGGACTGGGAGGGCCCTGGGCGTCATCGAAGGGCCTCCATGCGAGACGTGGTCTGCAGTACGGTGGCAAGCAGTCCAGGAGGCCCGCAGCGCAGGAAGTGCTGAGAAGCATCAGTCTAAAATATTTAGACGCCTGATATCGGTCTGCTACGACAGCTGTGACCAAATAGATATGTGCACCTTTTCATTTTGAAAGACGGTGTATTTTTTGTATGTGGCTCGAGTTGCAGGCAAGCTAGGGAGCTGGGAAGCACGCCGCTCAACAGAAAATCATGACCCACAGTAGCCTACAGGCATCTAGACGGCTGAGATCGGTTTGCTAACAGAGCTGCGACGAAAAGACTATGTTTACGCTCTTCGAATTTTAGATAAGTGGTGTTGGTTTTCTCTACTACTGGGTAACCACATGTAGCGATTACCATCTCAGCACCACTGAAGGGCCACGCACGCGAAACACAAATACATAAATGCAGGAACAAAAATAGAATTGACTGCGACATACAAGTTACAGATGCGTGCAACCAACCTCTTATGAGCCCTGCCAGCGGAGAGCGGAAGGAAAACCCAGCGGGAGAGCGGGGGAAATCCAAAGAGCCACAGCGAACACAGGGGCAGAAACAACGGGGAGAGAGAGGGGGGGACAGACCAAACAAGCGTGCATGATCCGTCACATTTGCATTATCTGTGCCGTCTCGGATGCTTCTTGCCGCTCCGCGTCAATGCACCTTTGGAAGTAGAATTCTGAGGACCCCCCTGTTGCGAATCCATCCTACTCGGAACTTGCAAGTCCCATTCGAAGTTCGCATGCATTAATGGCCTCAAGCCTACGACGACAGTCCTGTCTCGGGAGCCGTTCCATTTCACGCCAAAGAGCACTTGCATCGACACTGGCAAGGGCCCAGTCCATGGCAGCTTGACACTCAGAGCGTGTCTCACTCGGTCGATCTGCGGAAGCGTGCGACGACGAAACCTGCTGAACTGGCGTGGCAAGATTTGAAGAAGCTGCAGCATGGGGAACCACATTTTGATGCTCGAATGTTGACGCAATAGAATGTTCTGAAACGTGATGCGAGGCACTCCCAGCCACAGAATTCGAAGACTGGTTTGAAGGCCGAATCGAAGACTTCCCAGCAACTGGATTCGAAGGCCGGTTTGAAGGCCGCGCCGAAGGCCTCCCTGCAACTGGATTCGAAGACTGCTTTGAAGACCCCCCTGCGACGTGATGCGGAATACCCCCTGCATCTTGACTTCATGAACTCCCAGCCACTGGACGCGACCTATTAATGATGTAAGTCCAACACGACAATGAACATTCAAAACAACTGTAATTGCATTCCGAGTATGGCGGTCGATCTGCGGAAGCGTGCGACGACGAGATTCGCTGAACTGGCGTGGCAAAATTTGAAGCAACTGCACCAGGTTCAGATGTTGACGCAATACAATGTTCTGGAACGCGATGCGAGGCACTCCCAGCAACTGGATTCGAAGACTGGTTTGAAAGCCAATCCGAAGACTTCCCTGTAACTGGATTCGAAGACTGGTTTGAGGGCCCCCTTGCGACGCGATGCGAAACACTCCCAGCCACATGAGTTGCAGGACTCCCTGCATCCCGAGCCCGATCAAACTTGACCGCACCATTTTGTGCAGCACCCAAGTCAACTTGACAAGAAGCCTGACAATGACCCACACTGGGAATAGAAACAGCGGCCACTTTCGTGCTGACGGAAGGCTCAGGCCTGGGAGGCGGAGGAGGTGCAGCCTCTGGCATGGGAAAATTTGGGACCACATCTGAGAAATTGTGATCAGGAGCCAAACGTGACTGTTCGAAGAAGAGGTCGAGATCAGTCTGCCGAAACGCAACCAACCGCTGTCTACGATCTACGAAGAGAACGCTTCTTGGCCTGAGATAGTATACAAACGGGATGCGACAGCAAATCATGCGATGACAGGGTGGACATAGTGCAGGAATATGCGAACAGGATAAGAAGTACAAGGCAGAACAGAACTGCAAACGGGCGCCGC